GGGGGTGTTGTTGCAACTTGCTAAGCCCAACGCATCCTGATTCTGGATTTTCTGGCCGTTGATGTCCGGAATGGAGGGCCACGAAAGAACAATCCGGGGGCAAGGTCCCACTTGCATGGATTAAGAGATTCTGTCCGTTGATCTTTGCGATCTATGGTCACTATCGCTTAATCCGTGTAAGTGGGACCTAGCCCCGGGTAAATGGGATCTTGGCCAACGGAGCATGGTCAATCAGCCATGTGATTGATTTCTGTCTTTTTGCCTGTGTGTGTTTGTGTGTGAATGAACTAGAGGTGCGTGGAAAGGTTATATAAAAGGTTCAAGGCGCATGTCTTTCATTCAGCCGTCGAGTTTTGCGTGTGAGCCCAAAATGTCTTCAGCCTGGGTGAAAGGCGGCTTGGAGGCCAGCCTGTTCATACCGGTTCATGAATTTGGCATTGTTCTTGTGCAAGTATCATGAACAGGAGCTCTCTTGGCCTGTTCATACCCGTTCATGAATTTGGCACTGTTTTTTTTGTTTTTATGGCAAGCCTATCTTTGGTTCTTTTAAAAAAAGAATAGAAGGCTGCTTGGAAGATTGATTCGATAGACTAGGTGGGTGATATAGGGTTTTCATATAGGCTTAAATCAAGAGAATTATTGAAGTTGGTTTGTGCGTAGTGCTTAAGTAGTTTCGGGATTTTGGAGGTGCAGAGTCTAGAAGTAGATGAGGGACTTATTCTTTTGAGCTTTATCAGGGAAATTGGCTGAACTTCAAGCTGAACCGGCTGATGCTGCGGGGATAACTCCGGGTTGAATTGTGAGGTCCCCGGCCTCCCACTATGTGATCTGGAAATTTTTTCTTTAAAAAAAAAAAAAAAGAACAGAACGACTGGCACCTACGATCACCTATCTGAAATGGAACAGGTGGGCCACCCTCAGCCTCTTCTACACCAAAATGAATGTGGAGCTATTTATCCACCAATTTATGATCCAGTAGGCCCCTTGTAAACGGCCGCGTGGGTCTGTAGTACCCCACATGGAAAACATTGGTCCGGGGCCAGTAGTACCAAACGGCCGAGCATTGGGTGCCCAAAACCATGAAGGTTTTGGCTGGGGTTTTCTAACAATTATCCCCTCATCGGCGGCCTATAGGTGACATTTCCCGCTTGAGTAACTATCATGTGCCGATACGTATGGTCGAAGGATTCGTCATTCTGATCCTGGTTGAACGACTGATAGTGACAAAATGACTCTGGATTCTTTTTTTTTTTTGGGGGGGGGGTTGGGGGGGGGGGAGAGAATTAAAGCTATCTGGTCCTAGTCCTAGTTACCCGAGTTCTCGAGTTCGGACCATACATTACCAAGACCAACGGCCAGAAATGAACAATAGCCGTATGCGGGACCCGTGGAATTCCCGAACAAAACAACCCCGTGAGAAATACTCACTGGGGGCCTTACAGTTGGGTGATATCAGCTTTGATTTTGTCTAAGTGGATTCTCACAATCATCTATTTGGGCCTCTGCAGACTGCAGCTTCTTCAGGATGCACCCTCCTTATCAGTTGGTGAATCTCAGACAACACAGTCTGCTTCGTTCATGACGTTTTGATATCCTTCAGTGCGTGTCTCCGGTCTGTTGATCACCATGGAATGGCTGCAAATAGTTCTGTGGGTTTTTTATGCACTCTTCTGCCTTCGTGTGTTGCGCGTCTTCGCTGAGGTCTCTTCTGGAACATCCGCTAATACGCTATGCTATTGAGAAGTGCAAAAGGGAGGATAATCCCCGTAGGAGGACTGGATCTAACGGCTACTCGTACTAACTTCCCTCGCTCATTCCCTTCAGAATCTCAATTCCGTTGTGTAACCTCCGTTACTAGTGCTCTTGCTACACAATTATACAAGCAATGACCCGCACACTTGCAGACTGAGAAATCTGTGTTTCTGAGAGAAGTTGCTGATTTTGATTTGTTTGCTGAGATTTCCGAGTCTAAGTCTGCTTTGCTGTGTTTTCTGAGTATTCGTGGTACTTGCTGATGATGTATGAATGTCATGTGTTTGCCCATGTCTGTGTCTCTATGATAACTATGTTGTTCGCACTGTGTGTCTGTGCGTCGGACAACCTGAGGGATACACACGCAGATAGGTGCAGTTACAGGGACAGACCCGAAATTTGGCTAAAGAGGGACTTACTGGGAACATTAGACAGCTAGAGGTGGATCATCTCACATGTAGAATTTGACAGTGTGCCGGTTCATACTTTTCAGCAACTCGAAGAAATCCAGGTAGGTTCCGTAGGCTTTCTAAAAAGTCGGGTAGCAGATCAGGTTCTGGGGTGGACTTGCAGACTGCAATGATGTTCCTGCCTAAAGGTATGAGCTTGTCGGTTGATCTAGTGCTGGAAGCTACCCGGAGTAGAAGGCCTGGGGTCCGAGTCTCCGAGAGACATGAGTATATCAGTCGGTGCACTCGGGTGGGTGGACATTCAGCCGGCAGTCAGGCTGCCGCTCCGCGCAGCAGGAGAGGTTGGCGGAGCACAGGGTGCCAGTGGGTGGAGATAGTCAAAGCTTCCTGCTATGGTGGAGAAGGCCGGAGAACTGCCTCCCCTAAAGGGGAGTACGGGGTGTAGTAGTAGAAGCCCAGATGGGGCTCTGGAGATAGGAGGGGGAGGGTACAAGATGAGATGAGGTGGAAAAAGGAGGAAGCTGTGAGGAGGAATTACATCTGGCTATCGGGAAGTGCGCGGGGAGAACTTACCTTTGGATATGGTAGACCTTCATCTTCACTTGCCTAGCTGGTGCTGCATCAGGGACCCCCCAAGAGGGGACTGGATGGACATGGACTTGATCCATGGAAGGTGGCTATGGAAGCAGGTGAAGAGAGAACCATAGAAACTAGTTGCACTGTCCTTCTTTTCTGCAGGGTCCCTATGGAGAGGCAATCCAGAGGCAACCCCCTCCGTCTCTAG